CTGAGACTTACGGAGACAGCCTCATTTTCTTAACGGCACAAGAGAAACCCTACTTGTGGCAGCTTTTAGGCAGGGTCCTTTAGGTGAGACCTGTCGGCTTCTAAGTATTCTTTAAGTGTTCTAACCACCGATGCTTGTCTGATCTGGCCACACCACACGACCGCGGTCATTCTAAAGCTTGGAGGACGTGTATAAATTTGATTGTGTGAATGGAGGGTTTCGCCTCTCCTTTTCTTTCTGTGCTTTCCTTCGTATTATTTACACACACAGAAACAACAAAGCATCAACTGGGGCTTATTTCCTAGTAGAACGAGGCCCTCTGTGGGGGCGGGGGGCAGGAGGCAGCGCAGCCCACAGCTGGCGCAGGTCCAGGAGATGGCAGGTGAAAGACGCGCTTTCACTGCGCATCTGAAGTCAGTATTTCCACTTTTCTTACTGTTAGAAATAGTTTGTTGTCAAGATTAATAAGAGACCCAGGCTTGTGACCCCTGGAGGCTAACAGCAACCAGGAAGGACAGACCAAGCCCGTCTCCCACCCCCACTCCCTTTCCCACCCCACGAAGAGAAGATACAAACAACAAGTCTTTTCATTACAAAGAACTAAGTGTATGTCAATATTGCGGCGACAGGATGCTGAGAAGACATCGCAGAAATGCTGAGGAGGCCGGGCAGGCCAGATAGTTCCTGCTCACGCGCAGCCTTCACTTCTCTTCGTTCCTTTGAGAAACAAAGAAAATCCTTATTTTTCTCCCCTAAACTCTCAAGGACCCACAATTCACACGCCATTCGTCACCACGGGGAGTGGGGATGACATCAGTCTCACTGAAGCCCGGCAGTATCTCCGAAGGAGCCCTGACAGAATATCTGTCTCCAGACCGCCGAGGAGCTTCACGGTCGTGAAAGACGCTCCGCCTCCTACAGCAAGCTCCTCGCAGCGAGAAGGCAGGAAAGCCCCACGGCCAGGGAGCTGGTGCCAGAGCTCCACATCGTGCCCGCCAGAGGACAGCTGTGCAGTCTAGAGGTCTGCTCTTATTTCTTAATTTATTAACGAGGCTGGTCAACGGGTCTGTCTGTAATGTCCTCAGTCAGAATAAAAACAAACAGAACGCTGCATGCTCCCAGGACAGTGCCTGGCACCAGCGGGCACCCCTCACTGTGTCTTCCGGCCCCCAGCCACCCCACAGCACCTGGCGGGGAGACCGGCCGCCCTGTGGACCCGAGCAGTTGTCTTCTCTGCACAGTTAGGAAGGAGCCTGCTTTTCAGGGGTGAAAGCCACACTGACTGGCTGCCTCTCTGCTCCCACCCTGTCTGGGAGCCGGGGGAGTGCTGGAGGCTGGCCCAGGCTCCCCCAGAGCCACAGCACTGTGCCGTCCCGGGCCTAGCAAAGCAGATGCTGGCAGGAGCGCATGACCCGGGCTCCGGGGGAGAGCCAGCTGTGGCCGTCTGCAGGTGAGCAGCTGTGAGGGTCAGAGGCACCTGCTAAGAAAGAGTGTCCCCTCCCCCACTCCTCCCCAGGCCAGGAAGGCGGCAGGAGAACCTCATCAGACCCTTCCCCAGCCACAGGTTACCCCAAGCCTAGACTGCACTGGAGATCTGAACTTTAAATCTGAAATTAGGGTAAGGGCTTGGCTCCCTAGGAGACGGGACAAAGTGCAGCTGGGGATAGGGATGGGGGAAAAATGTAACTTTCATTTTAGACCCAACCAGATAGACACCGATCAGCAAATGAATCACACCCCAAAACAAGTCAGTTTCTATTTCCCAGCTTTTTAGAATTCTTTTTTCTGATTAATGCACAAGATACTGTAAGGCCTTCCCCTCATCCCTGTCCCCAGGGACTGTCTTCAGTCCCTACTGTGGAGGTGGCCACTGTGCCAACGTGTTTTACACACAATGTGTTTTTCCTTTTCCTTCTAACAAAGATAACTTCATGGATTGCATTCCTCTGTACCCTGATAAAAATATAGATTTACTTTACACAATTACACTGATATTTAACAGAATATCTTGACTTACGATTCTCGTGAGTGCAGGCAGAGACTTCCCATTCCCTGTATTAATGGTTGCAGGGTCGTCTGTGATACTCCACATATTTCTATGATTAGCGAGACCCTGACAGGCAGACACTGTTCACATCCTAACAGGAAAGACAAACCGCCTCTGATGCAATGTAACACGAGGTGCGGTCAGCCCGTGCCCCGAGCGTAGCTGGGTGCTACTCCCCAGATGTGGCGTGTCCGGATCAGGGTGTACGTCTTCACTTTGAGAGACTCCTAAATTGCCTTCCATGAGGGTGTAGCAATTTACACTCCTGCCAAAATCGATGTGAGACCCCACTTTCCTGAACCATCACCACTACTGAATCATCAAACTTTTGATAAGTGAAAC